CTTCTCCTCCTCCGCATTATCCTCCTCCTACTGCTCCTTCTCCTCCTCCTCCTCCTCTTCCTCATCCACCTGTTCCTCATCCTCATCCTCCTCCTCCTCCTGATCCTCCTCCTCCTCGGCATCATCATCATCATCATCATCATCATCATCATCATCATCATCATCATCATCATCATCATCATCATCATCATCATCATCATCATCATCCATCATCATCAGCATCAGCATCATCATCATCATCATCATCATCATCATCATCATCATCATCATCATCATCATCATCATCATCATCATCATCATCATCATCATCATCATCATCATCATCGTCAGCATCATCATCCTCATCATCCTCATCATCATCATCATCATCAGCATCATCATCATCATCATCATCATCATCATCATCAGCATCATCGTCATCATCATCATCACAGCATCATCATCATCATCATCATCGCATCAGCATCAGCATCATCAGCAGCAGCAGCAGCATCCTCATCATCATCAGCATCATCATCATCAGCATCAGCATCAGCATCATCATCATCAGCATCATCATCGTCATCATCATCATCGTCGTCATCGTCATCATCATCGTCATCATCAGCATCATCATCATCAACATCATCATCCTCTTCCTCTTCCTCGTCCTCCTCCTTCTCCGCCTCCTCCTCCTCATCATCCTCCTCCTCGCCTTTATCCTCCTCCGCCTGCTTCATATTCCTCCTCATCCGCCTCCTCCTCCGCCTCCTCCTCCTCCTCCTCCCCCCCCTCCTCCTCCTCCTCCTCCTCCTCCTCCTCCTCCTCCTCCTCCTCCTCCGTTTCCTCCTCCCCCTCCTCCTCCTTCTCCTTTCCTTCATCCCCCTCCTCCTCTTCATCCTCCTCCTCATCCTCCTCCTCATCCTCCTCCTTCTCCTCCTCATGAGCATCATCCTCCTCGTCTTCATCCTCCTCCTGATCCTCATCTTATTACTATTATTAGTATTCTTAAGATCAGCATGATCATCATCAGCATCATCAGCATCATCAGCATCATCATCCTTATCAGCAGCAGCAGCATCATCAGCATCATCAGCATCATCATCGTCATCATCAGCATCGTCAGTAACATTAGTATTAGTATTAGTAGTGGTCGTATCTATTGGTTTCATTATTCTTGTATGCAGTATTACTGGTACTACTATACGTGGTACGTTTATTAACGATATTAGTAATATCTTCATTCGTATTACTATGATTTGTAGTATGAGTATTATTAGTATCACTTTGCTGTATGAGTAGTGTTACTAGCGGTGGTAATAGTAGTAGTACGAATAGTTCCACGAATAGCCATAATGGTGTCATTAGTGGCATTAATGCTGTTAGTAGTAAGATTAGTATTGCTTGTGGCACTACAATTAGTAGTAGTATCAATACTAGTAGTAGTAGTAGCAGTAGTAGTAGTAGTAGTAGAAGTGGTAGTAGTAGTAGTAGTAGTAGTAGTAGTAGTAGTAGCAGGAGTAGTAGTAGTAGTAGTAGTAGTATTGTTGAATTAGCATTGGCAGTAAAACTATTAGTAGTGTTAGTCTTGGTCTTCTGTGTGGTATCATCAGTATTCGTCTTCGTCGTAACAGTATTAGTAATAGTGGTATTAGTATTGATCGCGCTCGTCTTCTTATCAATAATATGAGACGTGGTAAGAGTTACCACTCGTAGTAATACTAGTCGTATTAGGGTTCGTAGCGTCAGTATCCTTATTAATATTATTATTATTAGTATGAGTCGTCGCCGTATGCTTCTTCGTGTTCGTTTTCTGTCTACTGTTATTATTCGTAGCATTAGCAATGTTAGTATTAGTGGTAGTTTTGATAGTCTTCTTCTTCGTATCATTATTAATATTAGTTTTATGTTCCTCGTGTTCATATTCCGTGTCCTCTGTCTCCTCCTCCTCCGCCTCCTCCTCATCATCATCATCCTCTTCCTCGTCCCCTTCTTCCTCCTCTTCCTCCTCTTCCTCCTCCTCTTCCTCCTCCTCCTCCTCCTCCGCCTCCTCCTCCTCCCTCCTCATCCCTCCTCCTCCCTCCTCCTCCCTCCTCCTCCCTCCTCCTCCCTCCTCCTCCCTCCTCCTCGCTCCTCGTCCCTCATCCTCCCTCCACCTCGCTCCAACTGCTCCTCCTCCTCCTCCTCCTCATCCTCCTCCTCCTCAGAGTCCGCTTCCTCCTTCTCCTCCTCCTCCTCCCTCCTCCTCATCCTCCTCCTCATCGTCCACATCCTCCTCCTCTTCCCCTCCTCCTCCTCCTCCTCCTCCGCCTCCTCCTCTCATCCCTCCTCCTCCTCCTCCGCCTCCTCCGCTTGCGTCCTCCTCCTCCTCCTCGTCCTCCTCCTCCTTTCCGTCTCCTCCTCGTCCTCTCCTCTTCCCCCCTCCTCCTCCTCCTCCTCCTCCTCCTCCTGCTCCCTCCTCCTCCTCCTCCTCCTCCTCCTCCCTCCTCCTCCCCTCCTCCTCCTCCTCTTCCTCTCCTCCTCCTACCCCCTCCTCCTCCTCCTCCTCCTCCTCCTCATCCCTTTTCTCCTGTTCCTCCGCCTCCTCATCATCCTCCTCTTCCTTCATCCATCCTCCTCCTGCTCCTCCTCCTCCTCCTCCTCCTCCCTCCTCCTCCCCCTCCTCCTCCTCCTCCTGCGCCTCCTCATCCTCCTCCTCCTCAATCCTCCTCCTCCTCATCATCCTCCTCCTCCGCCTCCGCCTCCGCCTGCGCCTGCTCTTCCTCCTCCTCCTCCTGCTCCTCCGCCTCCTCATCATCTGCCTCGCCTCCCCCTCATCCTCCTCCTCGTCCTCCTCATCCTCCTCATCCGCCTCCTCCCCTCCATCCTCCTCCTCATCCTCCTCCTCCTCTCCTCCATCCTCCTTCTCCACCTCCTCCTATTCCTCCTCCTCATCCTCCTCATCCTCCTCATCTTCCTCCTCTTTCTCACCATCTCCTCATCCTCCTCCTCCAACTCATCATTCTCCTCCTTCCTCCTCCTCCTCTCCTCCTCCTCCTCCCTCCTTCCTCTTCCTCCTCCTCCTCCTCCTCCTCTCTCCTCCTCGTCCTCCTCCTCTCCTCCTCCTCCTCTTCCTCCTCCCCTCCTCCTCCTCCTCCTCCTCCTCCTCCTCCTCCTCCCCCTCCTCCTCCTCCTCCTCCTCCTCCGCGCCTCCACCTCATCCTCCTCCTCTTCTTCCTCCTCCTCCTCCTTCTCCTCCTCCTCCTCATCATCCTCCTCATCCTCATAGTATTATTAGTACTAGCATTAGCCGTGTTATTCGTAATATTATTAATAATAATATTATTATAGTAGTATGTGATTATTCGCAATAGTAATTGTATTATTAGTGTTCCCAGTATTAGTATTATTAATATTTTTATTATTAGTATTATTATTACTATTATTATTAGTATTATTATTATTAGTACTATTATTATTGATAGTATTATTAGTAGTATTATTGTTATTGTTGTTATTATTATTATTATCATTATTACTATTATCATTATTATTCTTATTCGTAGTATCAGTATTAGTAATATTATGTTTATATGTATTAGTATTACTATTATTATTATTACTAGTATTACTATTCTTATGTTTACTATCATTAGTATTAGTTTTATTAGTATTAGTATTCATAATAATAGTATTATTGGTGCTATTATTATTAGTATTATGATTAGTTATCAGTAGTGTTATTAGTATTAGTATTACTATTATTATTAGTATTATTATTAATACTATTAATATTATCATTATTATTAGTAGTACTATTATTACTATTACTATTAGTTTTATTATTATTGGTATTAATAGTAGTATTATTTTTATTAGTGTGAGTATGATTAGTATTAGTTGCCGTGTGCTCAGTATTGTCATTAGTATTCGTCATATTCGTAGAATGTTTCGTCTAATTGTTTGTATTACTATGATTCGTCCTCTTATTCGTAGTAGTATTAGTGTTCGCATTGTTCTTATTGTTTCTAACTAGTATTTTTACTAGGTTTCTAAGTATCATAATAAGATTCGCCTTGTTCTTCTTAGCATTTGGATTATTATTCTTTGTATTCTTATAATCAGTAGTTTTGATAGTATTATAATCCTTCGTCTGCTTAGTATTATGCTTAGTATTATTATTAGCATGGTTCATCTTATTGTTCTTAGTTTTTTTTTCATATTATTAGTATTATGCGTATGAGCACGATCAGTATTACTATTATGATTAATGCAACTAAGATTAGTAGGATTACTAGTATTAGGATTGTTATTATTGTTAGTAGTAGTAGTAGTATTCTTAATAGTATTATTCGTTTTTATGCTTATGATGATAAGTATTACCATTATTATTACTACTATTATTATGATTATGCCTTCTCCTCCTCCTCCTCCTTCCTCTTCCTCCTCCTCCTCCTCCTCCTCCTCCTCCTCCTCCTCCTCCTCCTCCTCCTCCTCCTCCTCCTCCTCCTCCCTCCTCCTCCTCCTCCTCCCCCCCTTCTCCTCCTCCTCTTCCTCCTCCTCCTCCTCCTCCACCTTCTCCTCCTCCCCCTCCTCCTCCACCTGCTCCTCCTAATCCCCCTCTTCCTCTTCCTCCTCCCCCTCCTCCTCCTCCACCTCATCTTCTTTCCTCCTCCTCCTCCTCCTCCTCCTCCTCCTCCTCCTCCTCCTCCTCCTCCTCCTCCTCCTCCTCATCATTATCCTCTTCTTCCTCCTCCGATTTCTCCTCCATCCCCTCGTTTTGGTGTACGGCGGCTTCCTCAACCCCTCATTACACTACATGCCCTTCCACGTGCCGGACCAAGCCAACTCCCCTGGACACCGTTGCTGGATGAGCTGGTGGGGTCACGCGAAGCTTGTACGCTTCCGAAGCGAGGGCGGCCGTGGCGACGAGGCATCCCCCGAGGCCCAAAAAAACGAAGACGATGAAGGGCACCCGCACAAGTAGTTGTTCCTACTCTGGTGTCTGCTTTTCCCGCTGCCGTTCATTCACCGGGCCGTGCCCCAGGTTCCTCCGGCGCCAAGCGCAGCAGGAGCCCGTCCTCGAGCACCAGGGCGCGCAGGAAACCCACGTCGGCGAGCAGCGCCTTCAGGCCGGACCACGGCGGGACGACACAGGTGTGCCAATGCAAGACGAGCAAGAGGAGAAGAGAAGGAAGAAGAAGAAGCGGCATCAAAGGAAGAAGAAGAAGAAGAAGAACAAGAAGAAAGGCGACCTGTAGAGGAAGCAAAGGCACCCCCCCTCTCTCAGGGGCAACGGTTTCGTCGGTTCTCGGCGGTTTCCAACCGCAGGGTGCCTTCCCGCAAATGCGTTTCGCCGAGACCGTTCTGATGAAGGTGCCCGGATCGTCCCCACGGCAACTGGAGACCCGAGTCCTGCCCCGAAAACCACCAGGGACGGGGACACTCACTATTTGAGCTACGCTCGTCGGCATGAGAGACGACGGCGGCGGCGAGGGCATTGGGCGGCAAGGGCGGGGGCGCCCCTGCAGGGCGAATCCCAGGACGACGCTGGCCGCGACGGGGGACGCTGGGAACTGCTTCGCAGGTCCACGACGCACTCGCGCGGGACGCCGATCGGGTTTTCGACCACGCGCAACACGGCAACCAGAAGGCTTCTAGCGGGCGCCACCCTGGCAGGCAGCGCGCACCTCTCCCTGGTGGAAGCCCTGGACGCTGCCGCGTGGCCGCAGGCGCCGCCCTGCGATGCCACCAGCACCGCATTCCCGCAAGGCGCCGCGCAGGTCGACCTGCAGAATCGGCTGTGAATCCAGCTCGTGCGGGAGGAGTGTTTCTGCCAAGCCTGTGGCGACGTGATGGACGTTTTCTGCGACACCGCCTTGGTCAGCACCTGCCGCGGCGACTAATCCAAACGCCACAACTCCGTCCACAGCCAAGTTTTCTTCAAAGCCCTGGCCGCTGGCCACGCCGGGCACAGTTGGAGCGCCCAGGGCTGCGACCCACACGCCCCGCCTGAGAGGCCACCCCTGAGGCCGAGCATGGCAAATCATAGGTGGACGACACCGGCCACCGCCCCGCCGACGTCGACTTGCCGCGGCGGCGCACGGCGGCCGCCTGGGACTTTGCCGCCACGTCCGCGTTTGCGCGCCGACCTCCTCGCCGCGCCGGCTGTTTCTTCAAGCGCGGCGACGGGGAGCTGCGGCGCCTCCAGATGCCGTCTGGGGGGCGGAGGTGGTCGCAGGCAGCCTGGCCGCGGCCACGGGTGCCTCCGCCGCGGGCGCTGCGCGGGGGGCGCCCCCAGTGGTACCAAACGCCCCCTGCCCACCTACCCCCGCCCTTGCTGGGCAGAACGGACGCCCCCCGCGCACCTCCGCGGGCGCTGCGCTGGCGGTTCTTCGCGCGCCCTGGCCGCCCCTTCCTCGGCGGGGCGGTGGATGGACACCGAAGAGGGCAATCCCCACGAAGCCGCAGCGTGGCGCGCTCGGTTATGCACCCCACAAGGAACCCGACGCCCTTCCCAGCGCCCTCCCCAACGCACTTCCCGAGGCATTTCCCGACCGCCAACCTCTTCACGGCGACCCCTCACGACGACACCCCACGATGTTTCCCTCGCGACGATCCCCCCACGACGACGCCGACAACCGCCACCAACTCCTGCACTCCCTCCGTTTCCACCGCCTTGTCGGCGTCGCCGCCGTAGCGTCCGTAGCCTCGTCGCGGGCGACCCTTCTCTCCTGGCCTGGCCCCTCTTCTCCCTCCTCTTCGTTTCCATCGTCCTCGTCCTCGTCATCCAGTTCCTCCTGCTCCTCCTCCTCCTCCTCGTCGTCCTCCTCCTCCTCCTTTTCCTCCTCCTCCTCCTCCTGCTCCTCCTCCTCCTCCTCCTTTTCCTCATCCCCCTGCTCCTCCTCCTCCTGCTCATCCTGCTCCTCCTCTTCCTATTCCCCCTCCTCCTCACCCTCCTCCTCTTCTTGTAGTATTACTGGTGTTAGGTTTCCAAGTAATACGAATAGTAATAACAATTTCATAAGTAGTATTCGTGTTACAATTACTGTTAATTGTGTGAATACTAGTCTTAATACGACTACTACGTATAGTAGCATTATGCTTATTAATAATATTAACAATAATGTGAATACTAAGACTACCGTTGCTATCAGCGTCAGTGATATGAGTATTAACGCAGTATTAATATCAGTAGTAGTAATAGTAGTCCTAGAACCAGTTGTGTTAGTATCAGCACTGTTAGAATGAGTAATAGCAGTAATGAAATAAATGTTAATAGCCAAACTAATAGTAGCGTTATCAGTTGTATTAGTTCCAGTATAACTCTTAACCTTAGTATCGGTAGCAATACTTTTGTTGTTAGTAGTAGTATTACTGTTCGCATCCGCAGTGTTATTACTAATAGTGTCATCTGTAGTAGTGATAGTATTAGTAGTAAGTCTCAGTGGTAGTACTAGTGGTGTGCCTGATATAATTAATGATAGTACTTCTACTATGAAAAGTGTTCGGTTGAAAAGTCGGTTTCGTGGTGTTTGTATTATTCGCATGGTTCATAGTGCTCGGAATTGTGCTCTCAGAATGCGTAGTATCATTATGCTGCCTCTAAAACTCAAGATTGTTATTCGCATTAACCATAGTATTGTGGTTACCAGTGGTACTGGCAATGTGATTGTTAGCCGTGACAGTACTACTTTTAGTACATGTACGGGCAGCAGTAGTAGTGATAGTGTTCCGAATATCCTTACTAGTACACTAGAGGATACTACTATTATTGCTACTAGAACTCGCATTCGTATTATGATTGGTTTCGTTAGTAGGGTTCGTCGTACTAGTATTTTCGTAACAGTCGTAATAGTAGGTGTCGTATTGGTATGACTTGTAGTTCTCTGTGGTTACTGTGAAGAGTATTCGTATTCTTCGAACTAGTATGGATAGTATGACTGTGGTTGTGCTTATACGTATGATCATGATCACGTGTATGATTAAGAATATGAGTGTGTTGTTGCTGTTGTTGTGTATGGGTCTGGTTATGAGTATACCTATGTTTCTGCTTGTGGTTGAGCGTTTCTATAGATTCCTCCTCGTCCTCCTCACCCTCTTCCTCCTCCTCCTCTTCTTCTTCATCCCCCTCCTCCTCCATATCCCTCCTCTCTCCTCCCGCCTCCCTCCTCCCTCCTCCATCCTCCATCCTTCCTCCTCCCTGTTCGCTCATCCCTCCTCGTTCCTCAATATTCGTTCCTCCCTCCTCCCTCCTCCATCCTCCTTCCTCCCTCCTCCATCCTCCCTGCTCCCTCCCCCCTCCTCCCACCATCCCTCCTACCTCGTCCTTCCTCCTTCCCCCTCTACTTATTGTTATTCCTCCTACTCCTCATCCTCCTTCTCCTCCTCATCCTCCTCATCATCCTTCTCCTCCTCTTCTTCTTCTAATTATCATTATTATTAGTATTATTAATATTAGTATTAGTATTATTATTATCATGATTATTATTATTATTAGTAGTATTAGTAATAGTATTAGTATTCCTCCTCCTCCTCTTCCTCCTACTCCGCCTCCTCCTCCGCCTCCTCCTCCTCCTCCTCCTCCTCCTCCTCCTCCTCCTCCTCCTCCTCCTCCTCCTCCCCGCCCCCCCCCCCTCCTCCCCCCTCCCTCCCCCCGTCCCTCCCTCCCTCCCTCCTTCCTCCTCCCTCCTCCCTCCTCCCTCCTCCTCTTCCTCCTCCTCTTCCTCCTCCTCCTCCTCCTCCTCCTCCTCCATCCCCCCCCCCTCCTCCCTCCTCCTTCCTTCCTCCTCCCTCCTTCCTCCTCCATCCTGCCTCCTCCCTCCTCCCTCCTCCATCCTCTCCTCCGCCTCTCTCCCTCCTCCCTCCGCCTCCTCCCCCGTCTCCTCCTCCATCCTCCTCCTCCTCCTCCATCATCATCATCTCATCCATCATCATCATCATCATCATCATCATCATCATCATCATCATCATCATCATCATCATCATCATCATCATCATCATCATCATCATCATCATCATCACATCATCATCATCATCATCATCATCATCATCATCATCATCATCATCATCAGCAGCAGCAGCATCAGCATCATCATCAGCATCAGCATCAGCATCATCATCAGGATCATCATCATCATCATCATCACCATCATCATCTTCTCTCCTCTCCTCCTATCCTCTCCTCCTCCTCCTCCTTCTCCTCCTCCCTCCTCCTCCCATCATCATCATCATCCTCCTCCTTCAACTCCTCCTCTTCCTCCTCCTCCTCCTCGTCCTCCTCCTCCTCCTTCCCCTCCTCCTCCTCCTTCCTCCTACTTCCTCCTCCTTCCTCCTCCTTCGTCCTCCTCCTCCTCTTCCTCCTCCTCCTCTTCCACCTACTCCTCCTCCTCCTCTTCCTTCTCCTCCTCCTCCTCCTCCTCCTCATCATCATCATCAGCAGCAGCATTATCAGCATCATCCATTCTTTCTCCTTGTGAATAACTCCTCCCCATCGCACACCGAGGCCAGTTTTTAGACCGGGCTGGGCGTTTCGCCTAAGACTTCCGCACCACTCATGGCTCTGAAGCTGAAAAGTGGCAACAGCTTGACAGATGGAGGGCGGGCGGTTTTCAAAATGTGGTTCTCGGCTTAGGGCCGCGCACAATCGTTACTCAAATTAGCAGAAGTTGTACGGATTCGGGGCGGGTGGTTTTCAAAATGTGGCTCTCCCCTTAGCGCCGCGCACACTCGTTTTAAACATTAGCAAGAGCTTCACGGATTGAGGGCGGGTGGTTTTCAAAATGTGGCTCTCGCCTAAGCGCCGCGCAAATTCTCTTTGAAACTGTGCAATGGCTTCACAGAACTTGTGTTTTGGAAGGATTCAGGGTTATGCGGGCGCAGCAGTTATGTTGATTCGCCGCGTTGAAATACCAAAAATGGCGTTCCGGCAGGATTCTGGATAGTCACGACGCAGCAGTCAGGTTGATACGTGGCGTTGGAATCCCGAGAACAATGTTTTGGCACGCTTCAGGATCTTCAAACTGCTGTCTACCAACGAAGCATCTCCCTCAATGCAAATGAACCGTTGTAAGGGCCTGTGAAGAGGGAGCTTGAAGGGAAGGTTAATTCCATCATCGTTGATGACTCTTGGCTCTCCACTGGTCCTCCTCCTCCTCATCATCATCATCCTCCATTCCTCCTCCTCCTCCTCTTCTTCCTCCTCCTTCTCCTTTACTCCTCCAACTCCTCTTCCTCCTCCTCCTCCTCCTCCTTCTCCTCCTCCTCCTCCTCCTCATCCTCCTCCTCCTGCTCCTCCTCCTCCTCCTCCTACTCCTCCTCCTCCTCCTCCTCCTCCTCCTCCTCCTCCTCCCCCTCCTCCTCCTTCTCCTCCTCCTCATCCCTCTCCCCCTCCCCCTCACCCTCCACCTCCTCATCTGGTCGTTCCTCCCCCCCATCCTCCTGGTTTCCCCCTCCTCCTCGTTTGTCTCGTTGTCTCCTCATGGGTTCCCTGTTTGCCATCTTCCCCTCGCCCTCTCACGCCTGCCAGCCCCGCCTGCTTCGTCCCGGCAGCCCTGGCCTCCCGCCTGCACATTCGCCATCGTCTGATTGCCTTGCGCTACCCGTCTCAATTCCCGTCGGCGCGATAAGCTGATGGGATCTGGAAGCGGCACGCCACGGCCCAAGGTGCGTCCTGGCCAGAACTTGAAAAAGAGTCCGGCCGTGGACACGAGGACCCTCCCAGAGGCCCCAACAAAAGAGAGACCGACCCATAGAACAGGATCAGAAGAGGAAGGAGGAGGGTGCGGAGGACGCCGACAACGGGAAGAATTGGAGGGCGGAGAAGAAGGAGGAGGAAGAGAATGAGAAGAGGAAGCAGCGGCATAAAGAAGGAAGGCGCTGGTACGAGGAGGCAGGGGAGACGAGGAGGGGCGGATGGGGACAACGGAGAAGGAGGAGAGCCCCCTCCTCGCCCCGCGCCCCTCTCCTCTCCGCTGGGCCCGCTTCCTCCTTCTCTCGGCTCCTCGCTCGTCTCCCCTGCTGCCAGAGTCCGGCCCGAGGGGCGGCGCTCGACTTGTCGCGTGCTGAGAGGGCAAGGCGCGCAATGGACAGGAGGAACGGGCCTTCCTCTGACCCCTCTCTCTCTATCTACCTCAGGGAAAGTTTCGAGGTCAAGGAGCGCTCATAGCTCGGAGCCCAGCTCACGCCTCTCAGCGAGGCGCCCATCTCGGCCAACGAGATCTCTCATCGTGTGTGGGTGGCTGCGCAGAACGGGGCTCTCTCGCTCTCTCTCTCTCTCTTCTCTCTTCGCTCTTCCCTTCACCCATTCCCTGCCACCCTATCCCATCCCATCCAATCCCGTCCCGTCCTCACCCTTCTCCTTTTTCGCTCCCCTCTCCTCTCCTCCCGTCCCTCCCCGCCCCCTCCCCTCTCTCTGCCTCCCCTCTCTCTCTCTCTCTCTATTCCCCCTTCCCCTTCCCCTTCCCTTCCCCTTCCCCGGGTGATGGCGATACGCCGGATACTTTTTGGTCGCAGCCGCAGGCGAGAGCGCAAGCGGCGATTCGTAAGTCCGGGGCGCGGGCCTACAAATTGAAACAGGAGCAAGCTAGAGCGGCATAACCTAAACAAGTAACTGCCTAAGCGTCGGATACGCCAGATACTTTTTGGGGTCAGCGGCCACGAGACGGCGGTCAGGTGGCGAAGGCAACGTCCGGGCCACGGGCGAGGCTAATTTGCTAAACAGAAACGCTGCCAGCCAGAGTTGGCGGACGTACTGCTAGCACGGGCATGTGCACTGGACAAAAAGATCAGAATTCGGGGGATACGCAAGCGTCAAGAATTTGATGGACGCCCCCCCTTCCCTCCACCCTTCGTTTTGAAGACGCCCTCCACCGTCGTCGTGAGCGGTCGTTCGCACGAGTGGCGCTCGGCGCAGTGTACACGCGCCAACTTCCAGAGTAGCCGCAGAGCGGCCTGCTACTACTGTTTGGTTGCTTCTGAGGAGGCACAGGAGGAGCTGGGGCGGGGGCGGGAGGAGGGGCGGGGACGAGGAGGAGGAGGCGCCGGCCGCGGCCTCCTCCTCGGGCCCCACGGCGGCCGCGCCCTGCGCCAGGCGGTCCAGGAAGGGCTCCCAGTGCGGCTCCACGCGCACGAGCCGGATCACCTCGCCCACCAGAGGCTGCGAGCGGGAGAGGGGGGCGGACCAGCAGGCAGGCAGGCAGGCAGGCAGGCAGGCCTGGCCAGGCAGGCAGGCAGGCAGGGGCACGGAGAGGCAGAGAGGCGAAAACGGAGACAGCGACAGAGTCAGAGGCAGAGGCGGAGACAGACACAGACACAGACACAGAGACAAAGGCACAGAGACAGGGACAGAGAAAGAGAGAGGGACGGACGGACGGACGGGAAGCCAGCCAGCCAGCCAAACAGCGATGTGTATAGACAGCCCGCCAGACCAGACCAGACCAGACCACGCCAAGCCAGACAAGACAGACAGACAGACCGACAAGCTAGACGAACAGACAAATAGATAGATGGACAGACAGATAGCCAAGCGGAAAGACAAGACAAGCGGACAAACGCAGATGGATTGTTCCCATGGCGGAATCTACGCAACGGAAACTGGCGGAAAGAACTGCGAAGAGACAAACACATATCGGCCACGTCCGTCAGACACACGACCTCTCCCGAACACCACCCCGTAGTGAAGGCGGTGACTCTTTTTCTCTTCCAGAAGAGCGCTTCCAGCTAATGATATGCACGTGGACAAGTTAACGGGCTTGAGGAGCGTAACTCGAACCCCCAGACTGCATGATCGACCGCATTGGGAGACAGGGTACAATTACACGCGAAGCGCGGCCGATTAAAGCAGCCTCGGGAGCTGACCCGCTCCTGGGAACGCTCGAGGACGTTCGAACGATTTTCTACTACTCATAGCAACACAACAGGGCCAATACAAAGTTACTCAGAATACTTCGTCAACTGACCGAGCATACCTCGGCACATATGTGGGCATACCTCCTGACATGTCGAGAACGTTCGAAAGACACTCGAAAACAAGGAGGGGGCGAAACGGCAGCGGCGTGCCCCACCGTAGACTCGCAGCACGCTCGGAGGTCCTCCACCACGCTGCTGTCGCCCCCGGCCCGCAGCGACCTGCGTCAGACTGGAAACAGCCACACCCGCGGCGGACAGCAGCGGCGGGATGGGGGACGAGCCCCACTGGGCTAGCTGGACTGGGCTACCCAGGGAGAGCTAGCCAGAATAAAGTAACACTAAAGGCCACTGCACTGGAGGTCAGTCGAAAAGCCAAGCCAGAATGTCCGAAGAACAAAATTACGAATGCAAGATTAAGACTGTTGCAAAGGCGGGCGTGCAAACTCACTGTGGAACAAGACATCTGCACCAGAGACCTCCCAGGCAAGGTCCGAGTAGTTGGGGTCGAAGGATCACGCCGCATCGCCGATACACCGCGGCGATGCATCGGCGACGTTGACGTGAGAAACTTGGGCTCCGCATCGAACCGCATCGCCGATGCTTCGGCAATGCGGATCGATCCTCCGACTACGTATACTCGGACCCCATTCGGGAGGCCTGGAGGCACAAGCAGCTTCGTGGGGCCTCCGGGCTAAGCCCCAAGGTCCCCTGTCCAAAAGATCCCAGCCTGGTCCTGCACGGTTTACCCAGGGGCCGTAGGCGACCCGAGGAGGAGGAGGAGGAGGAAGAGGAGGAGGAGGAGGAGGAAGTGGAGGAGGGGGAGGGGGAGGAAGAGATGAAGGAGCAGGAGGAGGAGGAAGGAGGAGGAAGGAGGAGGAAGGAGGAGGGGGAGGAGGAGGAGGGAGGAGGAGGAGGAGGAGGAGGAGGAGGAGGAGGAGGAGGAGGTGGAGGACGGGTCGCCTAAGCCCTTCGGAGAAACCCTCCACCCGGTCCCTCCCACGAGAGCGGGCGCCTCCCGATCCAGAGGAGCCGTATGTTCCTGGCGTGCAGCCCGCTCGCCGCCTGCGCCGCTAAGGCGACGCGTCGGAAAGTCAGCGCCGCATCCAGCACCACCTGGGAAGGTCGCGGCCGATCCCACAACACGTGCGGACGCAGCTCGTGGGAAGCCTTCGGAGAAGACTCCGAGCTAGAGAAGACCCGATTGAGAAGGCACCAAGCCGGATCAGGCCGGATCAAGCCACGCATGAAACCATTTTCATCTGGATGAAACTGGATTGCGCGGGATGCTGCCCGACTAGGCCAATTTCCGAACACGGATATACAAGCGCCGATGCTTATTTGACTTTCCAGCTGCATCCTAAAATACACATGTTCCCTAATACAAGTTGCAAGTTCGCAACGTCGCTGCTCGCGAGGGTGAGAGCGGGAAACACGAAGGTCTGTAGCCCCTCTGGGGCCCCCGATTCGGACAGCGCCCAGAACAGCGGAGAAAAAACAGAGCACGAAAAGACAAGGTGGGGCAACTGCGGCAGTGGCACACGCACGAACAGAAGCAAGACGAGGGCGATCAACTCTCCCTGAACACAAAGATAAAAGGTGAATGAAAAGAATCTCTCGGAACAGCTAGAATTCAAATTGGACCACTCCCGAAGTCACAAATTTGTCTTCGGGCACAAATCGTGTATTTGCCCCGATGGTTTTTCGAAGGAAGGCTACAACCCCTTCACTCCATGTGTCGAAAATGTTTGGAAATACGGCGCCTCGGAAAAGATCAAGGCCCCGCTTTTGCTGAAGCACGTGGTCGAAACGCCCCATGCTTCCTCCTGCTAGCGATAGCGTGCACGACTAAACTCACGAGCTGATGGCCTTCCAAATTCCGGGTGTAAGCCATCACCGCTGCGCTGGGATAACTAAGCCATGAACAGAAATGTCATTTAAACTTCATGCTGACTGGGCTGGGTAAGGTTTCGCTTATGGTACACGCAGGACCTCGACATTCCCCCACCGCCAACTTCGACCGTCTGAAGCCTTCAAGGCATCGAGGTCGCAATGAGCCTCATTGGGCCGCACTGAAGTCCCAAGCATGAGTTTATAACCTTGGCGCAAATCGTGAAAAAAATCGACCGTAAGCATGCCATCAAAACGTACCAACACAAGTACACGCAAGAGTAGCGCATTTCAATACGCGGAAACTTGACAATAATCCGCAAGATAAAAAATGAGGCCAAACGCGTTTCACTAAACGATATGAGCACCACCGCCGCAGCGTACATTAATTTGTGTTCCAATCCCACGTGATGGTGGGGGGGTCCTCGTCGACCCCATATATACATGTACACAAACACATATACATATACATATATAGAAAACATATGTATATATGTGTATATATACACACTAGCAAACGCGGACCCGAACTTGCGTTCTACATCATACTTCGTGGTGGAGCATACGTGGCTCCATACGAACGGCACAACATATATACCAGGAGAGATGCACATACATACATACACAGACA